TTCAGTAAGCCAGAGAAAAGCCAAGAGGCAACATTACCAACGGCGCTGCAGTCCACAACTCTCCCACCAGTGTATATATAGCAAATTCTTCGAGTCTCTTGACGGTGTTTTATCCAACTACGAAAGCTACGTCCTGACCCCGTGCACGCATGTATAATGACGCAGGGCGCAAGGCCCGACGCTGACCTACTATCGTCACGCGCGGGGCTGTTGGGGATGAGGCGCTGGGGGTGGCGTGCGACGGAGGGGGCGACGCAGGGGGGTGCGCTTTGGTGGAAGACTCGATCTCGCGCGCATATCGGGGGTAATTTTTTTTTCAGGCAAATAGTTTTTGCGCTTTTTTCGCTGGCTGGTCTGTCGTTCTTTCTGCGAGTCTCAACACTCATCTCAATGCACTCTCGCTCCACTCGAAATTAGCAAATGGCGATGGGACAAAAAGGGAACGTGTGCTCTTACGTTTTTTGTCTGGAAATGTTTTTTTTTGAGGGGGTAAGAAAATGGGGTTTGCGACGGGTGGGGGAGGGGCTGTGCGTGAATGGGGGGGTTGAAAGAATTTCTTTGGGGGGATGAGGAGTTCGGGGTTTTCGGTGGGTCACTTTTTCCAGGGATGACTCTCAGTGAATGAAGAAGGTCTCATGATTTTTTTCTTTCAGAAATTTCTTGGGGATTTTTTTGCAACGGGCTCTAATATTGTTTCTTATGAATAGTAGAGAAAAAAATATCGTGGCAATGAGGCAGAAAGGATTTTACGATCTTTTTGATATCTCGTGAATTTTTTTTGTAATTCAGTAGCGAAGTGGCAAAACGGTACAAGTCAATTTTGACTATTGGCCAGTTTTCATTGAATATCTCGGAATCCATGGGAGATAGCGAAATTTTTGTTATAACCTTTTTTGCAGCTCTCAATTCACTCTACAAAATAAGTTATCACAAAAATTTCGCTATCTCCCGTAGATTCAAAGATATTCCTCAGAAACTCAACTGGGAGATAAGTCGACTTAAACCGTTTTACCACTTCGCTACTGAATTTTCTGGAGAAAAAGTATTCTAATTTTTTTAGAGTTATTAGGAGGGAATGGGATGTCTGAGTACACCCTCCAGATTATTCTCTGCATTTCGAGAACCCGAAATTTCAAGAGCAAAATATCCTTCCCAAAAAGATCTCCCAAATTCCCTCGAACCACTTCCTTCTCCGGATTATCTCCGAATCTGTTCTATACTCATTTCCCCTCGCCACTCCATATTTCAGTGACTCCGTAGTGCACTACCATCAAACTAAATTTCACATTCATCGGAAACTTCGAGTGAATCCACTCCATCATTCTCATTCACCATTCAAGGAGTGAAGCTAAAATTAAACTGTCAATACCATCTTGATCATTAAAATTGATCCAATCTTCAGTTTTCTCATTCTCATCTCCGTGTCATTTGGAAAATTGAGAAGTTGCCTTCAAACCCCGGGAAACACTCCTCGGAGGGGTTGTAATCTTATCATTATTGTAGCTTCTTCCATTCTTCCATTCGTCTTATTATTCATTCGACGCGACAAAAACACAAACAGAAATTGAATTGAATGAAAGAATAGAATTTATCAAAGCCAAATAACAGATCAAAAAACCAATTCTTCACATCTAACACATTAATTTATCCGAATACTGAGGGGCTTTTTTAAAATTAAAATACTGTGAATTTTGTTATTTACAAATTTCCAGAAAGTTAAAACCCTTCCCTAATTTATTTATCAATCTAATGGAAGAATTTGATGATTTATTTTTGAACTAAAAGAACGAAATTTTGGGAAAAAAATTAATGAGCAGTAAAATAAGCGAAATGTTCTGCAAATGTTTCTTTAAATTTTTGTTGATACGAATGTGACTGCAGTCACTGGGGTTTCGATCTGAATCACGAGGCTGAGGGGGTGGGAGGGTGTAATGACGTCACAGAGTCCTGCGGCTCTCTGACCTCGATTCTGATGAAACTTGTCTCGAGTGCACCCTCAGGCGATTAGATAGCTGCACCTGATCGCTCGTTTTATCCCTTCCTCCCCCCATCTCCGCTGCATTTCTTCCTCCAGACACTGTATGTTTAATTATTTCATTGGAGGTCCAATTATTGATAGATTCCCAAGGGTATTATTGACACAGATAAATGAATAATAAATCCATTTGATTCTCCAGATTAATTGTTGTTCTTTTTTCTCGTCAATTTTATTTTCTCTCTCACTTTTTTTGGATTCAAAAATGCTCGCTTTTCCATTTTTCATGCGCTTTTTGTGATAACATTTAGAATTTACTCGTGATGATTTAATCACTAGATGCACGACGATAGTTACACCACAACGGAGCTATACTCCATCCCCTAACAGATATTAATTCAAATAATTTGGTTTAACGATTTTTCGTCGCTCTGTTTATTATCAATTTTTCATTGTGCATTAATTCTATAGCGTTTATAAGTGCTTTCTCATAATTTAATTACAGAAGAATCTGGCACACTTTTATAATATCTCGTTGTTGAAAATTATATTCCGTAAAGAAATAAAATTGTTGATTTGAGAAGTTCAAGTTTTTACATTTAACAAAAATTCCCACAGAATTGATCAAAATTCAGACGATTATAAACTTGAATCATCAATTTATTCTCAATTCAATTGAACCAAATGTTTCAATTAGTAAAAAAACTGAATTAATTAATTTGATAAAAAAAATTATTTTTTAATGCTACATAAATGCCTAAAAAACTTGATAAGTTGCAAAATTTAAGCGATGTTGATCATGCACAATTTTTTTTCTAATTTCTCTCAATGAAAACGTCAATAACATTGCAATAATTTCTCAACAATCTGAATTGTCAACTGTCTTCTCGAATCAAGAAATTGATTTCTCTAGATCTGTCCACTGAAAATTCAAAGAAGACTAATGTTTCGAAGGAGACCCTGGGCCCCGTCCTCTCAATAATTTCCTCAACTTAGTTATGAGTTATGTACACTTACTCAGACGTTTATTCGTTTCAATAACTCAGACGCTCTATCGCGTCCTGTTGGAAGGATTTAACCTGGATTAAAGTTATTTACTATCATGTTCGTTGTGAAAAATATAGATTTAAGAACAGAAACAGTTGTAACATCACTCGTGATCGCCTATCAATCGCAATTATCATAAGTGTAAGTACATTGAAGAGTAAATGGCATCGTATATCGAGTCGTAAACAACTACAGGACACGAAAGAAACGAGGGAATGGAAGAAGTCGTGAAGGACAGGAGATGAAATCACCAGTAGTATCGGAATTATTCAGAGAATATTCCAAAATTACTCGAAAAATAATCCCTAATAATTTTCTAACGCGACTCCTGCCTTCACCACTTTATTTTTTCAAACACCAAGTGAAGGAAACATGCGAAAGGGTCAGACGCCAATAACTATTATGTATATCACGAGCACTTTCCACGAGTTTCCTGGCATCGTCAGCACCGTGGAAATCTGCATATGTAGACTGTTCGAGAGGTACAGTTGCATCGGACAATTGTTTGCACACAAAATGTAATTAAATTACCATTAAAAGGAAGAGTTCATAATGAAAGGAATTACGTGAGTGGAAAAAGTAGATAAAGCACTAATTTTCCACGTAAAGTGTGAAAACATCACTGAGGAATCAGCAATTGTCATCTGCAATGAATAAAAGCTAAAGAAATTGGAGTGAAAATATCTGGGTGCAGGTTTTCTTCAACTTTGACGACTGACAAATCATTATTAGACATCGTTTATTCCTTTGATCAATGAATAACTCTCTCAAATCATGAGACAAACATAAATAAATAAAAATCACACTCATGCGTTTTATAAATTCAATGCGTCAAATTTTAATGGAGGAACAGTGCGCCATTGCCAAACAATAAGAAACAAGTTTTTTTTTCAGTATAAATTTTCATCAATTATTACCATTAATCGGACTAATGTACCACTATTGTATCCACCGTCACCCCTGCCACCCTATCGCTCTACGAAGACATTTTTTATCGTTTTTCTCTGAATCTCTTCCCCAAGTTCAACTGTATTTATGTACAAGACCTTAATGATTCAGTGGAAAAGTGAAATAAGGGTAATTCCCATTGGATCAGGAAAATTTCTGATTACGAAGACGAATGACTTTGAAGGAAAATAGAAGATCATTACATGTGTGAATCCACTGAAATTTCACAGCAAAATCGTGTTATTTTTCTCATCAATTGGAATTAATTGAAATTGAAAAATTAATACGATTAACACAAAAACATTCTCCCACATTTTCCCTAAATTACTCATAATCTCGAGTGAATAATTAACAAAGAAATCCCGAATAAACTGCAACGTTTAATCTCGAAATTTCCATTTTCTTTGGATTAAATCCTGTAGAAAAGGTTCGAATATCCTCACAAGACCGGAAATTTCCCCAGCAATCCAATGGTTCATCAATAATTCATGTAACCCCCCCAGATAATTCCACTTCTCGTTAAAATTTAATGGCTCACACATCTCCTTAATCCACTTGACCACGAAGAAATGTAATAAAAAAACAAACATGAAAATTGCTGGGTATTTAGAGTTCTCATTCCTCTGACATGTGAAAACGCACGAGCCCCCTGACACATGTCAATCCCCCCTCCCTCCACTATAATCTCCAACACTCCCTAAACGACATTAATTCCATTTTTATATCAATCGTTAACAGTTTTTCATAACCCATTAAAATCATTAATTATTCATTAATCATCAATTTATTTATTCTCATTAGCGACACGTTTCTCATTATTTATTATTTATATAGACGATCCAGTAAGCGAGGAAAACGTTCCACTAAAAATTCTCAAATCGTCGCTAAAATGTCATTATCTTTTTTATTTTTCTTTATTATTAAGTATTAACAGAATTTTTAAGTACCTTCCCGTCCCTTATCATGGATATAAAATGCGAGATTAATGGAGACAAATCAATAGCCTATTCTGAGTCTAAATGATTCATTAGTGAAGTGGAAAAACAAGAGAATTTCCTGAAATCGTGTAAAATATCTCAACATTTTGTCGTTAATTCGGATAATTCCACAATTTTTCCCCACTTCATTATTGAACTCTTGTTTAATGAGTCATCGAGCTACGATAAACCATAGAAAATGAAAATTTAAAATATTATTGAATTTTGTTCGTTTTTATTGTTAATGCACATTCAGAGGACAAACTCAGAAGTTTACTTGCGTTTTAATAAGTGATGGCGATCGAAGTGGCGTTGTCGGGAGAGAAGGCTAAATAAATGAGATATAGGGGAGTGCTGAGGGGCCTCATTATTTGGAACAATCGACAGTTTAACTGCTCAGATTAATTTTCCCAGTAAATAACCGACTATGACCATTACGACTGAGATTATTACTGTGGTTGATGTGAGTGGCAGCGGTGGATTGCTGCGCTCAAGATGTCCTGATGTTAGACGACCTGACGTTACGTTTGCACCTTTCTCCAATGTGTTTCGATATTTCAGGACTTCTTCCTGTTGAGATAATTTTTTAAACAGGCATTAGTGGGAATTCCTTTTTCCAAGAGTTTTCCAAATCATTTTCTTTGGTCATTTGTGAATATCTTTGGAGGGAGGAGAAATAGAGAAAAATGTCAAGGCATATCTTTGAAATAATAGGCTTTAGGTTTGTTTTAATCAGCAAAATATTTTTCTGATGGTTATGATCGTCACTAAAGTGAAAATAAGGAAAACAAACATTGTGATATTCATCACAATATTGTTTTCAAACGTACGAAGTTTGCAGACATGAATAATAAGATAATTCAATGATTTGTGGGTTTTATCACTGCACTGAAGATTATCCCATTGAGCAATCTGATCTGAAGCAGAAAACTTCGATAGAATTTTAAAGGACTTGTTTGTTTTTTTTTTTTTTCATCTCCAGAACAAACAAGATTGGAAAAAATTGTGAAGAGCCATCCTTCGAAGGAAATTTCAAGAGCTATTAAAAATTTCTTCTGACAAGATTCCTCAAGTACCAAAGATATTTACAAGATAAACACTTCTTTACCTTGAGTTGAAGACATTCCTGTCTCAAATTGCTCTCTGCTACCCTCAACTGAATGATCTCCTGTTCTGCCTCCAGCAATTCCTCTTTAGTCTCGTCCATTGACTAATAACAATGACAAGGAACGATGATAAATATTCAACACTTTCTTACGATCAATTCATGATTTCTCAGTCATGAATCGTGTGATGCACGACAAGGCATGAATAAAATTACTTTGAATTTCTATTCAGAGTTTTGTACGCAATCAATTTCTCGTAATTCACCTTTGAGGATGATTTTGCTGTGTCGCCACTGGTCTTGTTCTTCCCATCAGTTACACCGGAATCTGGTCTTGCGGAACTGGCTGTTGCTGAGGCATTTGCTGGTGCAGCATTGCTCACTGGATTCTCGAATACACATTTTAGTTTGTAATCCATGATCTGATTGGGATCGACATCTTTCCACTGTAAATCAATCCATAAAATCAATCTTTACGACCAGTACAATTCAGGAATAATCTAATGTCACTAAGAGTCGGATTAACGCCAATGAATTCTTCAATAAGAAAATATTAAGTGATTTTTTATAGAAAATTTTCTGAGTCACGAGAAAATTCTCATGATATTTCTCTTGAGAATTAACATTATCTGCACATGGACCACTGAAACATCACCTCATGCTGTTGAAAATTATGGAATTATGGATTTGCAAAAGAGATGAATGAAGAAATTGACTCACAACATCATTGACGAAGTCATCAGTGTCTCCCTCAGGTGCGACCACTGTCTGTACCATAAACTTGTGCTTATTCTTCTCTGATGCAACGAATTCATGAGGCTGCAAGCAGACTGGAAGAAGCAACGCTTGAATTAGTTTCATCGAACTTAATTTTAATACTAAAACTCAGTCGATGGAGTCTCACCTGCTATTTCCGTGACCTCCTTAGCCTTCAATATCCCACTGTTGGGCCTGACGCAGTACCTCTTTGGGGCAGTTGTCTTTATTTTGAAATAAACTTTTTGATTTGAGGGATTGATAAGCTTTATGTAGGATGTGACAGGTGAACCTGTGAATGGGCCTGCAATAACCAGAACCAAATTGTTTATATCCCATGCAAAATTCAAACAATGGAGATCAAACAATTATTTCCATTTAATTTAACTTCATCATCGCAATTTTATATCGAAAGAATCAATGGAGTCTCTGGAAAAAAATCTCTTCACATTTCTCTCTGAATAATTTCGTGCAAATGTTTGAGAACAGACGAGAATTTCACATTTATTACGTCACGCATTTCTGGAACTATTAATTGAAGACAAACATGTCGTGAAACTTTTTTTAAAGCCCATAAAATTCTCAACAAAAAAGAACCTCTAAACTCCTCGAGTCCAGAGATCACTCCAAAGAGTATAATCATTCTCCTCCCATTTGTGAACTCTTCTGCATTCACAGTTGCATGACCCAATGATTCCATTGGATCATCCTTGACCCTTCCAGAGCCCTCTGCATCATCTATCCCCCTGGAGATCATCGGAAAATAACCCCCAAGGAAGCCTTAAAGATTTCTGCACCATCTGTCACCCCATTTCTCCATTTCTCCGTATAATGAAACTACCCTAAGCCTGTTCTCCTGTACAATAAACCACCCCCGAGCAACAATTCCATGCCCAAGAGCGGAGGCAATGAATCAGCATAGACTTTTTGATCCATTGATGAATCGTCGTCCATTCATCGCAGGGGACAATGACTTTAGGAGAAAAAAACATCAAGAGCGCTTTTTCGCAGCTAATAGAGTCCCTCCGAAAAATGGGTCCTGACGTTTTCTCATTCATTTATTTATAGTAAATGCATTTTGACATTTTCCCCACAACCAACTTATCGCATTCAATCCCTTCACTCATTACATCTCTCTCGCGATTCTAATTGTTTGAAAACCGGGGATTCTAGTCAAAAAAATCAAAAGATCTTTTTAACAGCCCTCAAAATTCCACTCAAAAATTGTCTCTCAACATTCTGTAAATCTACTCGTCACCAGCGCAGTCTGATTCTTAAAAGAACACGAAACATTGTTTCTTCTTCACTTAATTGCAGCCGACCAGCTCAAACCCCATTCGTACCAGTGGAAATCATCAAGATACCTCTTCTGTGCCTTTAAAAATCCTTCCTCAGTCCCTCCTCTCCCAACAAAGACACCCCAATCTTCCGACAATTAAAAAAACCCATCCCAAAATGAAGCTGAAACTGGCAAAAGGTTCGATAGCAGATTTGTCTTAAGCGAATCTAGCGGTGTACAAATGTTTTTAAATAATGCTCAAACTCTTTCGTACTTAAAAAACATTTATACACATGATTATTTGACTCTCCTACCCTTAAATATTCCCTAAATTGAATTTTCCGCTGACGAATATTCTGCTAATTTCAACTTCATCATCCTAAAAGCGAATAAAACCCCTCGAAAATCCTCGCCCTAGGAATAAAAATGCCAGTCTTTTAATAGCCCTCAAAATTCCCCTCAAAAACTCTCTCAAAATTCTGTAAACTTATTCCTCACCAGGACTATAAAAAAAACCCATCCCAAAGTGAACAAATTTTCAAGCGTACAAATATTTTTAATAATGTGCAAACTCTTTCGCACTTAAAAAACATTTGTACACATGATTATTTGACTCTTCTACACTTAAACATCCCCTAAATTGGATTTTCCGCTAAGGAATATTCTGCTAATTTCAGCTTCATCATCCCAAAAGCGAATAAAACCCCTCGAAAATGCTCGCCCCAGGAATAAAAATGCCAATCTTTTACCAGCCCTCAAAATTCCCCCCAAATACTGTCTCTCAACATTCTGTAAACTTATTCCTCACCAGGACAATAAAAAAAACCCATCCCAAAGTGAACAAATTTGCAAGCGTACAAATGAAAAGAGGTGTACAAATGTTTTTAAGTAACGTACAAACCCTTTCGCACCTAAAAAACATTTGTACACATGATTATTTGACTCTCCTACACTTAAACATCCCCTAAATTGAATTTTCCGCTGAGGAATATTCTGCTAATTTCAGCTTCATCATCCCAAAAGCGAATAAAACCCCTCGAAAATGCTCGCCCCAGGAATAAAAATGCCAATCTTTTACCAGCCCTCAAAATTCCCCCCAAATACTGTCTCTCAACATTCTGTAAACTTATTCCTCACCAGGACAATAAAAAAAACCCATCCCAAAGTGAACAAATTTGCAAGCGTACAAATGAAAAGAGGTGTACAAATGTTTTTAAGTAACGTACAAACCCTTTCGCACCTAAAAAACATTTGTACACATGATTATTTGACTCTCCTACACTTAAACATCCCCTAAATTGAATTTTCCGCTGAGGAATATTCTGCTAATTTCAGCTTCATCATCCCAAAAGCGAATAAAACCCCTCGAAAATCCTCGCCCTAGGAATAAAAATGCCAGTCATTTAACAGCCCTCAAAATTCCCCTCAAAAACTCTCTCAAAATTCTGTAAACTTATTCCTCACCAGGACAATAAAAAAAACCCATCCCAAAGTGAACAAATTTTCAAGCGTACAAATGTTTTTAATATGGTGCAAACTCTTTCGCACCTAAAAACATTTGTACACATGATTATTTGACTCTCCTACACTTAAACATCCCCTAAATTGAATTTTCCGCTGAGGAATATTCTGCTAATGTCAGCTTCATCATCCCAAAAGCGAATAAAACCCCTCGGAAATGCTCGCCCCAGGGATAAAAATACCAGTACCCAGGGAGATGGCCTTGAGTGCCCCGCGGAAGCCCCTCGCGTGCCCGACCGACTTTGACAGCATTGCCGGTGCCCAAAAGACGGGTTAGGTTCGGCATTACCCATTCCCCCNGCTCGCCCCAGGAATAAAAATGCCAATCTTTTACCAGCCCTCAAAATTCCCCCCAAATACTGTCTCTCAACATTCTGTAAACTTATTCCTCACCAGGACAATAAAAAAAACCCATCCCAAAGTGAACAAATTTGCAAGCGTACAAATGAAAAGAGGTGTACAAATGTTTTTAAGTAACGTACAAACCCTTTCGCACCTAAAAAACATTTGTACACATGATTATTTGACTCTCCTACACTTAAACATCCCCTAAATTGAATTTTCCGTTGAGGAATATTCTGCTAATTTCAGCTTCATCATCCCAAAAGCGAATAAAACCCCTCGAAAATCCTCGCCCTAGGAATAAAAATGCCAGTCATTTAACAGCCCTCAAAATTCCCCTCAAAAACTCTCTCAAAATTCTGTAAACTTATTCCTCACCAGGACAATAAAAAAAACCCATCCCAAAGTGAACAAATTTTCAAGCGTACAAATGTTTTTAATATGGTGCAAACTCTTTCGCACCTAAAAACATTTGTACACATGATTATTTGACTCTCCTACACTTAAACATCCCCTAAATTGAATTTTCCGCTGAGGAATATTCTGCTAATGTCAGCTTCATCATCCCAAAAGCGAATAAAACCCCTCGGAAATGCTCGCCCCAGGGATAAAAATACCAGTACCCAGGGAGATGGCCTTGAGTGCCCCGCGGAAGCCCCTCGCGTGCCCGACCGACTTTGACAGCATTGCCGGTGCCCAAAAGACGGGTTAGGTTCGGCATTACCCATTCCCCCAGGCCCCCAAAACATTGCAACCCTCCGTCGTCCGATAAACCCCCCCAAATGATGAAAAATCATTTTCCCCTCGTCATCCTGGTCCTTACGTCACTGACAACGTGCATCAGTACCAGCAACTGCCCCTCGAACCGACTTCCAACGCGACGTTACATTATTCTCGCCATGTCACATCGCAAATTGGCTCCATTGTTTGCTCCATCGATTCAACGATAACCCAGTAAAATAATTAATGACTAATTACCCCTGAATCTCAGCTCGCCCTGCGGCTCAATAGTTAAAATCTGCTCCGGCTTCGACATCCTCACAACTCGACCGAAAAACTCTCCTCGACAAACGAGAAAACTCCTTCACAAAAAAAAAATCGACGTTGGGATGGCGATGTGAAGTGCAATATTCAATCGACAGGTTATAAAAGACACTTTCGACTCGTGCGGAGTGATTCGGAGGTTTAAATCAACCTGATGGGTTTATCTGAATTACTCTCGTTACTTATTTGACCACAGTTTCAGTCCTTCACTTGCACTTTTTCCTGGGAATCCGTTAAAACTTATTCCGATTTTTCAGGCCTTTTTCTGTAAATACGCATGCGTCATGACGGACATTAACGAGACGGTTTTCACCCCGAATGTGGCAGTTACGTCACGAATGGCTGTTTACTGCGGAGGTCAGGCTGACTACTTGAAATTGGCGGGCTTCGGGATTTTTTTGGAACAGAGATGTTTCGTGATTTTTTTAATGCTTTTTGGATTTTTTTATTTGCCTCAATTGAAGCCGATTCCCAATTCCCAATTGTTTTTTTTTTTTTTCATTAAAAAAAATCGGTAGTGAAGTGGTCAATCGGTTTAAGTTGACGTGTCCCGTTGAGTTTTTGTTAAATAACTCGGAATTTTAGGAGGATAGCGAATTTTTTGTAAGATCTTTTTCGATAGATTTCTCTTTTCTTTACAAAAAAGATTTTTAGGAAAATTTTGCCAACTCCTTTAGAACGTGAGATATTCATCGAGAACTGGCGCTAGAATGGAATTGACTTGGACCGTTTGACCACTTCACTTCTGAAATATTGGAAAATAGTAGACTCGAAATGCAGAGATGAGAGTGAATGAAATTTTGCTTTTGCTTTTTAAACAATGTTATGAATGAATGGATAACTAAAAGATGGATAATTCTCGTGACTGATCGCTGTTTCCTAAACTGCCCTGAATTGTTCTCAAATTATTGGGATTGGTTTCATCCGGAAATTGATTATTGACTCTTTTTTCTCTTCGTTATTCGGGGAAAATCCATCAGATATCTGCATTCATCACTTTTTTTACAGTTTATTGGTCATAATGATGTGATAATCCTCATACGCATCATTTTTTAGGGCTGGGTAGGGTGTCCCAAAGGAAAATTTCTAGTTAGTATGACAGCTAAAACACCCAAAATTCCCTAGAGTCCAATCGACGGATATTCCGCAAAACGAGAATATCGTCAGTTCCGGAAGTTCGAATGATTGTTATTAATATCGATAACAACAGTAATTAATTATTAATATTTAATTAATTATTGATATTCAATTAATTATTAATATTCAATTAATTATTAATATTCATAATAACAGTGATGATTATTATTAATTGGTGGTAAAAGAAAATATCGTAAAGATTACTTTGTAATAAACTGATTGTGACAGATCACTACATGGTAGATTTGTTGACCGATGATTGAAAAACTAGAGCTGAATCATGCAGATTAATCGATTAATATCGGATATTATCAGCAAATTGTATAACAAATGTTTAAAACGAAAGTCGAGAATATGAAAATTATAAAATGAAAAGCGAAATAATGATGTGATCAACAACTGATGTTAGTAAATATCCATATGTTCCTTGATGACGGGATTAAATTTCTAAATGTTCTATAAATATGATTATGAGAAGAAAAAATGCATTACCTCCATCTGCTAACGAATTACACGGGATTTACCATCGTCAATTGCAGAAAACTCGATTAGATTCGGAATTCTAATTTTTCTCAATTTAATTATCGTTTTGGTTTTTCAAAGAAGAAATGTTTAAAAATCAGGATTTAACCCAGTGTCTTATGTGAAAATCAATATTTCCATTCTAATTAAAAATTAAAATCTGATTTTTTTTCATTACATGCGAAAAAACATCAAGAATTTTTTGACACCTCATAAAAAATAATCCACCGTTTTTCAAACAAGTTTTATTATTTATCTATAAGAGGGAAATGTTTGAAAATACATCAATATTTTGCGAAATTTAATTTAGATAATACTGACTGGGTATGAATTTTTTCAAATTGTTTCCATGCAATTTAGTTGAAAAATTTAAAAACTGAAAATATCCAAAAGTACAGCGTAGCCCGGCTGAAGGGTGCGGCTACTTTAATCACCTCATCAGATCTGCCCATCCGCGAATGTATTGTTTAGTAAAGGCATGTTTTCCCGCGAAAATGACATGAACCCGAACGACTTGACACAACAGAAAAATTAAAACTGATTTTTTAAAATCATCTATTTCAATTACTTGAGCTCTTCGCGGGGTCAAAAAAATTCAGGAGTCTGAATATTCCGTTTCAAAAATTTTATAGATTGAAATTCATTAGAAAACAATGGAAATCGCAAAATGACGATGAAATACATGAAAACCCTCCCTGAGACTGACGCCCCAGAGCACGTGTCCGGCATTTCCATTGTCAGAATTCAAAGACTGAACTGAAGTAAATAATCTTCTCTCTCCAAACACTATCTACTTAATTAAATATTCCGTTGGCCGATGATGGACAGAGACGAGTACCTGACGAACCCAAACACCAATGCGGAGATTTATCGGAATATGACACCTGGAGATCGAGGGCCAGTGCCTGACAAACATCTGCAGTTCATTGCAGTTTACAATGGTGAGGAGGTTATGCTTTTATCCATCAATCACTCAATTAAATTCCAGTTAATGAAGTTATTTTAAAAGTTCGTCAGAACATTTCTTCATTCATTCGTCCACCAACACCTCCACGATTCATAAATCGACTAGGGTAAGCTGCCCTATAGATGGACGAGTTACTTTTGGATAGGAAATTACGCAAAAAAATACTGAAATGTGAATTGCTGCTTCGAATTTTCGCTAACTGTCATGATTCTTGACCCCTGAGTGGCGATTTTTTTTCTATCATTTTTTTTCAATTGCTAAAAAACAAATGTCCACAAGGAGGAAAAAGATAAGGATAAACCGTTATTTTGCCGGGGGAGTTCATAAAATGAGTGAACTCCGTGATTTCCCCATCGGCACACAAGAAAATGTATTTTTTTTCACCGTCATCTTTACGACATTTCAACAGAATCGAATTTCTTACAATGACTGCGAAATGTAAGAAATTATTCTATGCGTCGAAATCAAATTATCTCGAGGCTACAGGAATTAGAAACAGGGGGGTTTTGGGCTAGATGGAGCATTTTGGAGTTGAAATAAAAAGGGGTTTTTCGTAGGAAAGGTTTTTTGTAGGAAAAATCACTTTTCTACGAATTTCATCTGATACAGTTACGCTTTCCTAATTCTCTTCCCTCACAGTCTTGTCCATACTACACCGTCAGAAGTCTACTGTAGGGGAGGGTGGGGTAAAACGGACACTTTAGACTTTTTAAAAATTATTCATAACTCGGAAACAAATTGATCAATTGAGCTCAGTTTAGGCTCGTCACCAAGGGAAAGAATTTGATCAACATTTCAGCCCCTCATTGACATTTAAAAAAAGTCAAAAGTGTCCGTTTTACCCCAACCTCCCCTAATTAATTGAGGAGAGTTCCGAAAATTGTCGGGATTTTCCCGATTAAACGCGCAACATTTTCTGAACAGTCTGTATAATCACATCCTTTCGAAAATTCTTTATCGATATGAATCTGAAATCGGGTTTTTCCCGATTTTTTCACGCGAAAGGCACCCTTCGTCGAAATCATCGGGAAAAGTCTTGCGATCGCCAGACTACTTCCGATTCTTTTCTCTCCGTCCAACTACTGGGCAGTTTACCCAATTTGGAATTTTGAAATCGCGACAACGAGTGAAGAATGACGGTTTACAGACGAAAAGGCAATTCTTGGGGGCGGCAACCTGACAGATCGCTACTGGAACGGGACGGTTTGGTATTTTGACGAGACTGAAGTGCTCGACAGGAACAAGAGCTTCACTGCAACACGAACATCGAGCACTGTGAGTGATGCTGCCTTCATCGAGGGGGATAAATTCATTTTAGCTGAGGATGGGGGCATCGTTCAGATGCTCAACGTCGTCAAGCCTCCTGAGACCTGGACTGTGGGATTGCAGAGCATTGGGCACACTTGTCAACATGATGACAGTGTCACCTCACTCGCTGTTTTTGAGAGCAAGAGCCATTTTGTCAGTGGAGGGATGGATCGTTGGTAAGATTTATGCGCTAACTGATGGAAAAAAAAATATTATCGTATTCATTATTAATGATGAATTAGTCAAAGAATTGATCAATTTGACATTAATGTCCAGATTTTTTTTTACAGAGAATTACAATCATTTGCTCAATTTTGTCAATTTATTGAACTAATTCTTTTTTATATATTAGATATATTATTAATTTATTATACTATATAGATTTTTCATTATTCTGAGAATATAGTGGGAATGAAGAGATTTAGAGGAAAATGTGAAAAAAAAATTTTCTGGGAAATTAAAATCTCTTTTAATTTTTTTAAACTTTGAAACACGTTATCCAGTAAATATTCAGGGTTTCGCAAATTCCTATAAATTTTCTGTTTGAAATGTCATATTATTTGTTGAAATGAGCACTGAGATAAGACTTAATCAATTGGATTAATTGGTTAATGGATTAATGCATATATTAATTCATATTTGTAGTCTGAAAGTCTGGGAAACATCAACAATGCTGGCTGAACACTCGTACCAAACAGCTCACATAGCGATAATAACCAGTGTTGATGTCCTCTCCAAGAGCGACACAGTCTTCGTGTCAACTTCCTTAGACTCTGAAGCTGTTATCTGGGATGTGAGAACACCTAAACCCGCTCGGAGACTGTACAAAATTGATGATGGAGTTGGTTTGACAGCAGTTGTCTGCAATCCTGTGAACGAACATGAAGTTGCGATGGGAGGGCAGGATGGCTATGTCTTTTTAGGAGACGTACGTAAGCCAGAGGAACTAGTTTATAAATCTCTCGAGTTTCCACGCCCCATTCACAGGCTGAAGTATCATCCAAAGAGGTAAAAACGTTCTCGCTTCGTATTTTTCTTTGTCAAATCATTCAATTAATTCTATTTCAATTTTTTTTATCATCTTTTTTATTTACTAAATTATTCATTTTTTAATGGAATTTTCTAATTACATTAAATTAATTAATGACATTAATTGTGACATTTTGTTTAACCCTTCACTTTGTAATGTAATTTTCTAATTGCATAAAAAAATGAATAGTTTTAACCAAAATGTCACAATTTTTTAATAGAGATAATTTGTTCATCTAAAAAAAGTCAGTTTTGACATTTTTCCAAAGAATTTGTCAACTCTCGGATAATGCACAAAAAAATTACATTAAAAAAAAGAAAACCATTAATATGAATGCGAATTTATCACTAAAATTGGGAGACATTAATCACAATTTTACCTGGACAATTTTTTTCTAGAAATTGGTTGGCTGGTTGTTGCAACGACACAACGGTGAAGGTGCTGGACACATCTCAACAACTATCCCTCCTCCTCGAGAATAATTCACACACTGATTTCGTTCGGGGCCTGGCCTGGACCAAGGACGAACTCCTCACCTGCTCGTGGGACAGTACCATCCAGAGACACAGTCTGACCCCCAAGAACTAACGAAAACACCTCCATAAACTCGATAAAATTATTCTTTTCATCATTCACCCAGCAATTGTACAATTCCCCGACTACACATCAATCAATTGTGCTATTACCACCATTCCATATTTAGTTACAATAGTTCAAATGAAGTAAATCAATTAAATATAAAATGAAGAATTTGTTACGAAATAGGGATAAAAAGAGTGCGTCTTTAAATAATAAAAAAAAATAGTTTCGTCTATTTATGGAAAAGTTTTTTTCCCTCTTTTTAAAATGTTTATTTCAAAAAAATATCTCTTCAAAAAATGATTATTTAATGATTAATTCTTGACTCGTTAATTATCCGTCTCCACATTAGCTGTTGAAAGAAATTGAAAAATTATTTATTTATTCAATTTATTTTAAAAAACGAATATTAACAAATTGTCGAAAGGGGGCAGCACCTGCTCATGTCTCTCTAAACGTGAAATTCTATTGGTTGTCACTTCAGCATTCAGAGCGTCTCGTCTAATGAGAACTCTCCGATACGAAACAGCCGGGAACATTGTTTTGAAGCCGTTCAAACCTCAAATACGTTACAAATGTCTCTGAGGCCCCCTACAACAAGTTGAATCCTGCACTGAGCACGAAAAAATTAATTAAAAGCAGTTATTCCGAACCATTTTCACACGACAGAAGATAAATAACTCTTGAGTAACCTGCGACTGGCATTTGAGGCATTAAAAAATTGAAGAGAGACGTAATTGAGCCTCCAAAGTGCAGAATGCTTCAAGGATGACAAACGCCAGCCATTGACACCCCCACGCTGACTCTAAGGTAAATCCACCACAAACTCATGAATTCAGACCTCAAACGAGAGAATTATTCGCGTGCAATTCAGAGTAAATCGTTTTGGAGTGAAGTGCACGCTTGATTTTTAATTTTCATGATGAATTTATCTGATGAATGGGTTATTTTAGTAGGAAAGGAGACATTTTTTGGAGCTGTGAAAAATCCCCCGACCTCACTCGGCATTTAAATAACTCCCAAAGTCATTTTGAAGAAGAAAAATTAATTGAAACATCAAATTTCCTAAATTATTGATATTTATAGGGGAAGGTGGGGTACAATGGTCACTTGTAACTTTTTTAAAAATATTTATAAGTCAGGAACAGATTTATCAATTGAGCTCAGTCTGAGCTTATTACAATGGGAAGAATCGTGCTTTCAAATGAAAAATGGAATTATTCCATTTCATGAACAATTCAACAAGTCATGAGCATTCTAGAAAGTCAAAAAAGTGTCCATTCTACCCCACCCTTCCCTAACTATGAATTTCATCGAAAAAACCTCAAGAGCATTTTATTGTAACCAAGAAGATCCCCCCGAAATCACTCATTATGACGATAATTGGCTAATTAACCACCGAGAAAATAGAACATTGAATCTTCTCAATTTTGTTCCTCTTTGACGATTGATTCCATCAGAAAACTTCAAGAAAACATTTTTGTAGCCAAATAAATCTCCACAAAAAGTGTATTACAAAATCCTTCTAAATTTCCTCATTATCAACATAATTCAATAATTCAATAATTAACTACCAGACATTAAAAAAATTTATCAACACTTCAAATCTCTAATTTATTCATTCATCAAAGAACCCTCAAAAATATTTTTTTGTAACCCAGGGAATTCCCCACAAAGGAACATCTCTCCTAAAATTCCCCTGAACTATCGAATTCCCCTCAATTATAGAATTTTGGCATCATAAAAAAATTCGAATTACCGAATTTTTACATCATAAAAAAAATTCGAATTATCGCATTTTTATATCATAAAAAAAATTCGAATTATCGAATTTTTATATCATAAAAAAAATCGAATTATCGAATTTTTATATCATAAAAAAAATTCGAATTATCGAATTTTTATATCATAAAAAAAATCGAATTATCGAATTTTTATATCATAAAAAAAATTCGAATTATCGAATTTTTATATCATAAAAAAAATCGAATTATCGAATTTTTATATCATAAAAAAAATTCGAATTATCGAATTTTTATATCATAAAAAAATTCGAATTATCGAATTTTGGCATCAAAAAAATTCGATAAATCACAAAAAAAAAATTCTCAAAAATTTCAGAACCACTTCGAACGCACCATCACCCCAGACCTCACTCCCCCGAAGATGCCGCGTACAAAGCAGACTCGGAAACGCAACTCCTCCCTATCCCACCTCGAGGAGAGTGACATGCTGATAAAGGACTTCCACAGACAGGCGAAGGTTCGCATTCGCAAGATGGACTCCGACTTCGAGATGATGTTCAACGGTTTCGCAAACCAGATAAACATGAGCCTCTCTAAGATCCCCCCGGTGGCTCGCAAGTACACCCTGGGCGACCTGGCAAGATTCCTCCGAGAGCAGGAGGAGGAGCAGGACTACGACGACGTCTCGTCGACGAGCGAGGACGTGCCAGCAGTGATCGTGGCTCCCCCCACAGTGAAATCAAAGCCAAAGCCCCTGAAGAGACAGACAGCAGCCTCGATGGACGATGGCTACGTCACAGAGAGTGGAAATGGCAACCAGAAGAGAGTCTCGAGGGCCGACAAGGTCACCTCGACGACCCAGAAGCCCAGGAAGTCCAGGAGTTCGTCGAGAACCACCACTGGAAGGAGCCAGAAGTCCAGTGCATCGACAGAGAGGCGAGGGAAATCGACCTCTCGAGTCACCAACAAGTTTGTGACACCCTCTGTGCCAAAGCCAGCGACCGAGTTCAACCCTGTCACCCCCAAGATCAAGCCGAATACGCCTCTGAACATTCTCAGACGCCCCAGGGAGGGCGAGATGGTCCTCAGCATGCAGGGGAGCCCCATCCTGGTCTCCGGGATCGTTAAAGAACGAACTGCCAACATCAATGTGCCTCTGGGGAATGGCAACATCATCTCTCTGCTGCCCAATGAGGGACTTCGCAGGTCCCACATTCCTGCTCTCGATCCTGAGACTGTCAGGCAACTGCAGACACTCATGGGACACATTGGGAAGGTCATCGACACTCAGTGAAGAGGACAGGGGAACTGATAGCATCATTCAAGTGATTGTTTAGTCTCATTTATACGTAGGGATCATTTTATGTTTTTATATTTTAGGAAATAAGACTCAGGTTTTTAAGAATTTCCGTTTTTGTGTTTGCATGGTTCTCTGGTAATAAAGATTGCATTCATTTTGTAAATTTATGAAGTCATTTCTCGGGGGCTTTTAGAGCCGATTTTTTTGAAATTTTTTTTACTGTAGAGAATAGGTGAATTCCATAGATGAATCCCATACAATTTTTTTTGCAAATATCGACAGAAGGAAAAGATTTAGGGAGAAATGTAAAAAAATTTTTGTGAAGACTGCTCTAAGTGAAACATTTTTTCAAGATATTTGCAAAATAATGAATTTAGAAATGCAAAATTCATCTCTTCGCCCATAAAAATTGAAGCAGCTCCAAAAAATTATTGGATTTCTCCCAACGCCATCTGCACGAAATTGTACCCAGACGAATTCATTTCAATTCTCCCACGATATAAATAAACTCCATCCTCCAAAAATACTCATCTCCCCCCAAAATAATTCTCCTCGTCAAATGGTCGGCATCAATCCCTGAAATCCTCGAAATCAAAGTCGGAGCGCAAATGAAAATTCTAGGTTATAAAAATAAAAACAGTGAAAAGTCCCTATTGTGTCTGGCTCGGCGACAGCGTCACGAATTCACCATTTGTCTGGCACATGTGTTGTATCATTTCACCACTCATTCGTGCTTGTGACACGGTTACACACTGCTGTCCAGTATTGTTACTTATTCCTCCAATAATTATCCAACAATATCGTCGACAAACCATATGAAATTACCAGTAAATAAGTTACAATGGGCAACCATGTGGGACGGAGTGCCGATGGAACGAGCAAAAAGAGTGCAACAATGACGAATAATACAAATAATGTTAAGTCAATGTCACGCAGCCCATCGGGCACTGATATCGAGCACAATTTTGTCACGCATTTCAGGCCCGTTGATAAACTCAGCAAGGTAAATCATTTGTCATACGTGCGCATTCTTTATGTAATAGTAAATTAACAAATTTGAACAATGCACTCGATACTAACTCTCTTTTTATTTCATGTTGAATGTCTGTCAATTCACTCTGTCGATTTATAAATATTTGGGTTGTTATTAAAGTGTTTATGCGGCATTGATAAGACAAATTGATAAAATGTAACTTATGGAGACGAAGACGAGTTTTAGATTTTTTTTCAACATTAAATTATTCTGAGAATACATAGCTTTGGAAGAAAATGGTAGGGAATGTTTTTGACATTGATATTGAGTACGATTGTGTCACGCATTTCAGAATCGGTGATAAACTCAGCAAGGTAAATCATTTGTCATACGTGCGCATTCTTTATGTAATGGTAAATTAACAAATTTGAAAAATGCACTCGATACTAACGCTCTTTTTATTTCATGTTGAATGTCTGTCAATTCACTCTGTCGATTTATAAATATTTGGGTAATTGTTGTGAAAGTGAAATTATTGTTTTTTTAAGATTATGCGGCATTGATAAGACGAATTGATAAAATGTAACTTACGGAGACGAAGACGAGTTTTAGATTTTTTTTTCAACATTAAATTATTTTGAGAATAAATAGCTTTGGAAGAAAATGGTAGGGAATGTTTTTGACATTGATATTGAGTACTATTGTGTCACGCATTTCAGAATGGGTGATAAACTCAGAAGGTAAAGCATTTTTCATACTTGCGCATTCTTTATGTAATGGTAAATTAACAAATTTGAAAAATGAAATCGATATTACTCTCTTTTTATTTAACTCTGAATTTCTGTCGATTCACTCTGTCAATTTACAAATATTTGGGTTGTTATTAAAGTGAAATTATTGTTTTCTCAAGATTATGCGGCACTGATAAGACAAATTGATAAAATGTAGCTTATGGAGACGAAGACGAGTTTTAGATTTTTTTGCAACATTAAATCATTTTGAGAATAAGTAGCTTTGGAAGAAAATGTTGGGGAATGTTTTGGCATTGATATCGAGTACTATTGTGTCACACATTTCAGATTCGGTGATAAACTCAGTATTCTTTATGTAATGGTAAATTAACAAATTTGAAAAATGCACTCGATACTAACTCTCTTTTTATTCCATGTTGAATGTCTGTAAATTCATTCTGTCGATTTATAAATATTTGGGTTGTTATTAAAGTGATCAATTGTTATTAAAGTGAAATTATTGTTTTTTCAAGATTATGCGGCATTGATAAGACAAATTGATAAAGTGTAACTTATGGAACACACATATTATTTTTTTTAATATTAAATCATTTTGAGAATAAGTTTTGAGCTTTGGAAGAAAATGTTAGGAAATGTTTAAAGATATTAATATTGAGTACTATTGTGTCACGCATTTCAGAATCGGTGATAAACTCAGCAATGTAAATTATTTGTCATACGTGGGCATTCTTTATATAATGGTAAATTAACAAATTTGAAACATGCAATCGACATTACTCTCTTTTTATTTCACTCTGAATTTCTGTCAATTTATAAATATTTGGGTAATTGTTATGAAATTAAAATTATTATTTTTTGTGATTATGTGGTATTGACAAAACAAGTTCATAAAACGTAATTTATGACAACGAATCCAATTTTCAAATATTTTTTTCAACGTAAAAGTCTTTTGGTAATAAATGATTTAGATGTTTTGATTTGAAATGATTCATTATCCAGATAATTACCTAATTATCAACAATATCCACTGTGAAATGAATTGCGTAGCTTTCTGAATGGTAAATTATCCCGACCATGAAAAATTTCGAAAGCAAATGTGAAAAAATGTTCTTTGACATTTTGTGATAAAACCACTGGTGATTGTTTTTACAGAGGATTTTCCCCTCTACCCACTCATTACCACGATAATTACGCAATTATAATCAAATCATCGATTCAAAAATGAATTGTGTCATCGCCTAACGACCAGCTCCATTCTAAAAAATGATCGATTCTCCCGGTAATTAGTAATGGTGATTTGAAAAGAAATGTTGAGCGACTTCACGAAATTTCCTTCTCAAAAAAAAGAATCGTGGATCCTTTCTCCTGAAATTACTGGCTGTGAAGGTGATTTAACATTCAGCAAGATGTGAAGAATTCCCACGTGCCTCGAGATATTGTTAAATAGCTCAAGCCTTGTGATTTTGCCACTGCAGATTTTAACCGAGCGCAATCACCACGACAACGATGGTCACGGTGTCTCGGAAGAAGTATTCGTAAAATACCTATTCCCCCATTACTCAGAGTTCGCTTCAAGGCTGTACGGTTACCTCCACAAGTCGTCGAAGGCCACGACGAAGCACCTGGGCACATCTGCCTTCAAACAGCAGATTGAGAAGCTCCTTGGGATCATGAACGACAGGACTGTGCTGGATATTTATGTGAAAATGTACTCTAATACGATGGATGAGAGTGGCGAGGTGACGCCACAGGGCCTCAGAGACTTACTCATGATTTCTTATCGATTGGCGATGGATAATGAAGCCACCACCTGTCCTTACGTCCTCAAGACCATTCATGCTGCTGTGACCTCTTGCGTAAGTCCGAGGAAATGCAGAAAACTGTTTAATTAACGAGACAATGAAATAGAAGAATGGAACAGAAGAATTTATTCGTATCTAGACAACCCATAAAAACTTGATTGAATAAGTTGAAGGATTTCATTTTTACAAATTCTCTTTCCATTTTTCCTCTTCATTTGTACTTTTTGTGAAGTTCAATATTAAAAAAAATATTATTATTCATAAAAATGATCTTAATTTCAGTTTCATGGAAAAGAAATTCTCTCCGTGAGTTTCATAAGCAATTGGCTCTGGCAGCATTGTCCACGAGTTGTTTATGGGATACATCGTTACGTTGTTCACGTACTCACAACAGCATACCGAAATGGACAAGCGCTTTTGTCCACCGAGGAGCTGCAACCGCACATTGGCCCAGTTACACCAGTTCTGGAGAAAGTACTTTCCTTCGAACAGGCCGATAACATGTTACCACTGAGTCAAGTCTGGCTGTTGTCTACGAGTTTACCTTTTTGTTTCGTCCAGGTACGAGTGTAGATAACGATTCCCTTTACGTCTCAGTTGCAATCGCGATATAAAGAGGAGAAAAATAGCACTATTGAACGAGGTTTTTGCATTCATTGAGACTGATTTTTTTTTCTTTCGTAATTATTTATAAAACGAGTGTCATTTTGCAAAAAACAGCTCAAATCATCAAATTAAATAACATAAATTGATTAAATTAATTTAATTACCAAACCAGAACTAGTTTTATTAAATTTAATATTCATAAATTAATTTCAGGAAATGTAATGTGAACAGATAATCAATTTATTCTTAATTGTTCTCATGAAATTGCCGACTTTTTCGTAATTATTTAGAGAACAAGTGTTATTTTGCAAAAAACGGCTCAAATTATCAAATTAAATGATCTAAATTAATCAAATTCATTTAATTACCAAACAAGAATTAATTTCATTAAATTTAATATTCATAAATTAATTTCATGAACTGTAATGTGAACAGATAATCAATTTATCCTTAATTGGTCCCACGAAATTGCCGACTTTTTCGTAATTATTTACAGAACAAGTGTTATTTTGCAAAAAAACAGCTCAAATTATCAAATTAAATAA